CACATAAGACCTTCTGGTCTGGAACAAAAACAGGAATCCTCAGAGCCAAATACAAGTTGAGAACAATTGCTCTGCTTTTACTTGATCATGTTAAACAAAGCACTGTCAGGACTAATTGGCCACCTCCTAGAGCCCGGAGAGTCATCAGGCTCTGAGTTAGGAAGAAACCGTGTTTGGTCCAGCTATGTCAATCGATATTAATCCCGTGTATGGCTCCACCAGCTTCAGGATCTTGTTTAACCTAAGCATTTAAAGCTCATTTCCACGGATGGAGGGTTTATTTGCAGGGGAAGGCAGAGTGGCTGGATGGGCAGAATGCGAGACTGAGTCTCTGAAGTCAACCCTGTGTTCGCCGTGCTGCCACTGGCCTGCTGAGCGCTCTGCAGTGAGTGGCTCTGTGCGTCAGCTTCTGCATGTACAGTGGGGATAATAAAACTGGCTCTTTGCAAGCTCCTTTGAGATCTACAAAGGATAAGTGTTACACTGCAGCTATACACTTCTTCATTTCTGACTCTTTTTCATGTGGTTCTTTTAATAGACTTTTGGGTTCTGATTTAGATCTTCTGAACAGGGTATAACACTCCTGGTGTTAGCAGCGACTCTGTGTTTGCCAAAGTGTGACTACAAGACTCTCACTACTGCATCGTAAGCAGCTAAAAAGTTATTTCTCTGAACTCCCCAATGTAAGGTATGCTCTGAAATGGGGAAAGGCTATTTGTGTTCAGGAACTACAGAACTGCCTTAATCTCCCTCGCAGTTACTGCTGTGGCGTATCCAGTCTGAGTAGGCATATGTGGAAACAAATAACCATGTAGACACTCATAGATTTTCCAGTAAGCGTACAATTAATGTTATCTTTTTCACTGTTAAGTAAAATACAGGAAAATGGATGCCGAAGCATTCCCGTTATTTTGTAACTTACATTTGTGTGCACAATCAAACATACAAATGCATAACTGTACTTGCACACAATCACACATGGACATACTCTGAACGTAGGCAAGCGTGCATTCACCAAAAATAAGTACTGCATAATAACCAAGTGAACTATGGCAAATAAACATTCAGGTTGCAAAGCCAAGCAAAATCAGATGTTCCAGAATGCAGGTTTCCTGGGCATCCTTAATTAGCTCTTCTGAATATGCATGATGGTACGGTTTTAATTACATGATAACCTTTTTTTTTTCCTCATTGGATTCTTGTTTCAGCCAGTTTGAATGAGGAGTCAGTTTTTAACCGTTCTAGTTTTTATCCTCTGCCTTTCATGATACTGGTCTTAGACCTTCTCTTCATGCACGTGGTCCAAGTGTTACTCGGAAAACAAAAAACATTAATCACTTCCCAAGCTTTTGTTTCTCTGATGCTCCCATGACAGCATCTGAATATGCCCCAACTCCTAATGCATGTATTTTTGTAACAGTTCTGTGCAGTGTGAGAATATTATTGTCTTCATATGATTATTGTCATCATGCAAAAGTACTGAGGCACAGGGAGAGAAAAGGCAAAAATGTTGGAATGACAACTAGTAATAGAAGCTGAATATGAGAGATTTGTGAGCGTTAGCACGCTTCGCATTTCCATAGCACTTTCTCCACTCCAAGCACAGGCCCAGTTGACTTCAGCTCTCTGCACTTCTGCATTTCAGGCCCCAGGTGTCTCTTGTTGAGCACCCAGAAAATGAGGCCAAGAGCTCAAGAGGGAGGAAATTCCAGCATGATGTCATCCTGCCTGCACGTGGGGAGGGGGAAGGCACTAATCGTGCCCAGGCAGTCCGAATTCTGGCATTTGCTAACATTTTAGCAGTTGGCTTACAACCGTATCATTTTTAGCTGAGTTCTTCTGTGTATGTATATAAATTTCTCTGTAAATAAATAAGGACATCTGAACTGTATCTAACGTACTACAAGCTCTTGTACTACCTTTCAGTAAAACTAATACATCAATGTGTGTGCCCGCAGAAGAAGAAAAGGCTTGTGTTGTAATAACCTTTACTTACTTTTCCTGCTCCAATTAAATCTAGAGAAATCTAGGAAAACTTGGTTTTGATTGTTCCCAGAAGGGGCAGGAAGGGAAGCAGAGAAGATCTACCTTAGTAAGTGCTGCAAGTATCGGTACACTTGCCCTGCTCCAGCTGGGCCACAGCCATTCCTTCACTGCTTTAGAAGCAGGAATAACAGTAGACAGGCAAGCGGTTTGGCACCCTAAATCAGGGGGATCAAGGACTTCTAGGGGACAGGGATCAATTTGGTTCACTTCAATCCGAAAACATGCTACCAAATCTCAGGTTCTACGTTTGGTATGTTGTCCCTGTCCATTAGCAAATTACAAATCAGGCACTAAAAACTTAGCAAGCTGCCTTAGAAGTCACCATATTTTAAATTAGGTGTTGGTTTGTTTTTTGTTTACTTTCTGCAAGTTTTCTCAACCATTCACCTTTTGAAGCTTTTCTCCATGAGCAAACAGGTTAGAAGCAGGTTAAAAATGGAAGCTGAAATCCATATGTAAACAACTGGCTCCAAGAGCTGGTGCTCTAGGGAACAAAAACTTGTAATGCAAGATGCACAGTACTCTTGTGTGAGTTGACTTCGTTAGCTGTCTCCCATAAGTGTGTCTGTGTGCATAGGTCCGTACACAGTTGTGATCCTATCTGTGCCTATGTACATGAGGTTAGCACAGCATTCACTCCCCTACTGCACCTGTCTCCGGTCACTCCTCCCTCTTCTCCCACTTCTGATCTCTTCTGTGAAACCAAGAGTGTCTCTCTGCCCTCTCAACAGTACCTTCATGATAGGGGTTAGCTCGTATCTTGTATACGTTCCCATCTCCACTGGGCACCACAAGTTGATGACATGGGTCTTTTTCACTCTTCCTATGCGTGTTCAACAGGTGGGCTTTTCTCACTGACTATCTTTGCTGACTATGTTGGATGCTATCTGCCTTTCAGCCAACAGACAGAACAGTGTGTTTACCCTGTCTAACTTATGTGCTCTGGGTTGCTCTCAAAAAGCACTTCCAATTAAAATACAGGGTAATGTAATTGCCAAGTGAGGCATCAAAGTTAGGCATCATGAATATCCTACTGTCTACTCCTTCAGGGCAACTGTTTCCTCTCACGGACTGACAGATGCGCAATGAAGGGGTAGCGTTTGTAAGCAGTGCTTTTAGTACTGGAAATACCTACACTTCCATTCTCATTTCCTGCCCCCTTCACAGCCTGGGGAGCACACGGTTACCTCTCCCCACTGAAGACCAGGGAGCTGAGCTTTCCTTCCTTTCCTCTCTGCAGTCACTAGCAGTAGGGGGAGTGATGGCAGATCTTATGCCAAGATTTCATCTTTTTCCAAGAGGAAAAAGTCTATCTGTCCATGCTGGGATGGTGTGTGGCTAAGCCATACTCAGCAGCTGTGATGTCAGCTGGCAACAAGCACTCTGTGGGCATCTGGGAGACGTTCTGGGTTAGGCAGAGCGGTGGGAATAGTATGGTGCCTATTAGGCTATTGAAAACAAAATGCAGCTGTGTGTTACTGTTGGCTGAAAGCAACCTGTCAGCACCAACATCTCCATAAGAAGCCAGGAATGATTGTAGCCAGCCTGCATAGGAGAAGGTGCCAGTAGCTGAGCAGTTTGAGAAGCATGACATGTTGCCCCCTTCCTGCTTCCAGACCCACTGTTAACTCAGTAGCGTTAGAATTGCCAAACACCACAACTCCAAAGTTAAGGGGCATGTTGTCAGGTTAGAGAAGCAGTGAGCATGCCTGGAGAAGTGCCATGTCATGAGGAACCGTGTGGTAATAGGCAGATTGCTTGAAAGCCCCAGAGGAATTGCAACGTTTTGCTGAGTGCTGTGGGTCAGGAAGATATGTGCGCTCTCATGCAATGGACAGACCCAATGCACTAGTGGTGCTTGCTACGCCTTGATGGTATGTCTTTACTCCACAGTCCTTGAAAAATAATATGTGCGTAGTCCAAGGACTTGTTTATCCTAATTTTTAATTACTGTAGCTCCCATTTTTAGGACTAGGTCAATTTTGAGTCTTCATAGTTCACTGAATCTAGAAAACGGTGCCTTCCTACCCTCTCACGGGTATGTGTTATGTGCAAGCCCTGGGCACTGAAGAACGAATCACGTTGCTGCAGTTGGGAACAAGACAGTTGACCCAAGTAATAAGGTTTAGGTAGATTTTTGAGCATTTTTGGTGCAACATTGTTTTTCATCCCTAATATATTATGTTTTGGTCCTGACAATCAGAACCTGTGTAACTTCAGACGAACATAAAGGAAAAGAATGAGTAGTTTGCCTTTCTGAATAAAATGAGAACATGTGAATGTGGGGAGAGGGGGAAAAGGAGAGAGGCATTTGCATAGGTCAGGAAAGGTCATTTAAACATCTGGCAGTAGTAACTGACATGTGTCAAATTTTAGTGTTCATTAAATTCGTATTAATGCAAGAATGGTTCTTAAGCTCCAAATGCCATTTTTGGTTGCTGTATTCCCCCAGTTGATGGTGATGAGTTTTCAGAACTGTATCATGCTTGTTTGCTTGCTAGTGGCATCTGACCTGAGGTCAGTCTTCTATTTAACCCCTTCCTGTAGGTCAAAAGACAAATTAATCTGGTGAGAACTGAATTGGAAATGAGGTGTCTGGATAACAGGTGTCCCAACTATGGAATAGCTGCTAGGCTGAAACATGTTTGCATCTGTTCTTATGCCATCCCAAAAGTCATCTCCAAGGTCAGGGAGACATTCAGACGACATCTGAGATGGGAAGTTGCCACAGGGAGCACAAGTGGCAGGTGCCCTGTGTTAGGATATTATCTTGCAGTCTGGGGGTAATTTCTGAGAGGGATATTTTGAGTATAAATGTAGACATTTCCGTTTGTCATGAACTTTGTTCCACCTGTGTTTACTACTAGATTATAATTGTATAGAAGATAGATACACTATTTCCTTTCCCCTTAAAGAGGAGAATCTCACAATTCATCTTTATTTCTTTTTTTTAGAGGATGAAGATGATGAAGAGATGGTAGAACCAAAAGCGCAAGATGACTTGGAGATGGAAAATCAAGACCAGAAGCAGGAAGTAAAGGAAGGTAACAAAATCCTTCTTATTTTTACAGTTTTAAAGGACTCAATCCTGTAAGTAGTTATTCTCATAAGTAGATTCCATTATTGAACATAGTGAAAAATGGAAAAAGTCACAAGTGCTATTGATTCAGATCTACATGGATGGCATAAAAGCAGTAAATTGTATCCCAGTGACGCAGCCACTAGGTGTGAGAAGCTTGTGAAAGGCACAGGACTTTGGCTGTCTAGAAGAAGCAACATGTCCTTATAATTTGGGGACCTGTGTAGGGATTCTTGGATTCCAAGACTGGTGCTTACTTGTCCTCTGGCTTAAATGGCCTGGTTAAGTGAAAGATTTAAAATGGGAATGCCAGGCATTCCAGCACCTCCATAAAGTTGGTTGATCTTCAAAGGTACTTACAGCCCATAGCTGTCTGTCTGTTTGAGAAGGGCAAACTTAAACCTAGCAGTGGTCAGGAATCTTCCAACAGAAAACCATTTCACTGGCAAATGTAGACTGTCAAAGTCAAAACCTTTTGTGGGAGCCTGCCCGAGGGGATTTAAGGTCAAAACTGAAGCCAGGCAATTCTAGTCCTTTTTCCCATTCTTCTGGATTGAGATACTCTCATGTGTTATGAGATACAAAGATTCAGGCTTCTACTTCTTTCTGGTGCGGATATGGGACTTATGTCAAGCTGGTGCACGTCAGGTGAGAATGTGAAGCATTGGAAGCACTATATATTCTGGGTGCCTCTCATTTGTTTCTCTTGAAGCTGTTCTAATTTTCAAAATTAGAACAGGGATATGAATGTTGTTCGTCTTCATCTCTGGGAACTTACTAGGCTATTGGCTATTCTGGTGTATCACCTTGACCAGTCAGTGTTCACTTCTGTGTGGAATGGGGAAATACAGCTGAAACATCAGGAACTCCAGTGAGAGAGGAAATGAGTTTCTTATCCAGTATTTCTTAGCTCTGTATTGCCAGGATTACTAACAGTGCTGTTTACCCTCTTGAAGGGTCACTTAACTCCTCAGGTAGGGCCTCAGTCGCTTCCTGCTACGGTGATCATTATCCCAATATTCTGTGATCTTGGCTTTGTTTTTCACAACATAGTCTCACTATGGGGAAAATACGGAGTCACTTCACAGAGAAGTCCTTGAAAGCATTATCTGTGGATACAGCAGTGGATGCTGCTCCTTTCTCATCTAAGGGAGCCTGGCATGATTTATGTCAATGACAGAAAAATTTGAGTCTGGTAAGTTTTGACCGCATTGTGGAAATAGATCATCATAGAAATCACCCGTGACTTAAATGCTGCAATGCCTGTTGTTCATTTGGTCCTTGTAGACACATGGAACGGGGAGTGAGCTCCTCGTTCCCTGCAAGCCCCTAACATGGCGCTGCCTCCTTTGGCGCTGCTCCTACTGCTGCGCTGGCGTGACCTTTGCAACCACCACTCCTCCAGCCACTGCTCCTCCTGCTTCTCCTGCGGCCCCACCGCTGCTGCTCTGTGCTGAGCACAGGCCGCAGGAGCCAGCGGTGCCAGCAGGAACAGGAGTCGCAGAAGAAGCAGCGATGGTGGAATTGAAGACATGAGTGAGGGACGTGGCAGCAATGAAAACTGAATTTTTCCTAAAAATGGTCCCCCCTCCCAAAACCGCAGAGTCAAGTTAGATATGGGCTCCAGCAGTCACTGGGCCTAACACAGAGAAGCCGTAAAAACTGATATCGCTACACTTACGCACTGTCCTGAGTTGCTGAATGTTCCTGTAATATTCAGCTTACAATTGATCCTTTCCCCATTTATTTCCACATAAAAGTAAGGCTAGCGTTTATACTTGGGGAAATGGCACAGATTCTTGTGTGATGAGAAGAAAAAATATAAATACAATACTAAACCAGTTTCTTTTAGGTTTTCATGGGCTTTCAAGAGAGCCTTTTATGTACTTTGCTGACCAAGTGCCATCACCAACATCTCCTATTTCTTTGTTGTAGTTTAGTCTAGGGGAAGTGCTTCACTTCCTTGCCTAGCAGACCTCACAGGAGCGATAGCTCAACTGGATTAGTTTAGCACTAGTCTCTCTGACACACAGAATGCAGAATGTAAAAGCAAGGCACAGCTTGTTTTAGCAGAACCGGCTTTGTGAGGTGCTGACGCTTCAAGAAAGAAGAGTTCAAGAAAGAAGAAAATGCATTTATTCCTGATAGAAAGTGAACTTGACCTGCAGTCGGTGTTGTGACAGAGAGCAGCATGCTGATGACTAGCATTAAATGCTGTGAATCAAATGAAGCAATTGTCCCCAAGTTGACAAGAGAACAGAATACCATTTTTATCATTTGGTGTCGTTCTCTCTTTCTTGGCTTTAGCTCTTTCGCCAACAATCCTGTTTGTCTCTCTGTTGTAATCGCCCTTCTCATGTTCTGAGCAGCATTCAGAGTTTGAAGCCATCGTTTGTGTTCCGTGGAAGTGATTAAAACCATGTTGCAAGTCAAACAGGAGTCTAGAAGAACATTTCCTGTCAGTACTGCACTCTGTGTGCCGACTCAGAATTAATAGCTTTTCTGCAAATTAGCACATAATGGGTTAAAAGCATGTTTATGTTGGCATTAAGTACTCTGGCTTCTTTTTCTCTGCAAGGCAAGACAATATTTTGCAAACTTTTTAAAGAATCTCTAATAGATATTATAGTGGCGCCATTCACACTGCTATATAGTAGTTAAGGCTGTGTCAGCACTTCCATTATGAATCCTGTTTTTCAGGGATTTATAACCCAGCCGTAAAAATTTGCTCTGGGCTGAAATTTGGTTTCAGCTCAGGGAGCGCATTTTTTAACAGATTAAAAAAAAATCAGCTTGGCCTTTTTTGAGTTATAGGAGTGTAAAAAAAAAAAAACACCATGGGAGAGAGAAGTGTGGGGAGAGAGAGGTAGACAATTTTTTCATGAGTATAACTCAAAAATAGGTCAGTATGAAAAATAAAGATTGGATCCAGCCTGTTCAGTCTCCCTCTCCCCAAAGCCGACAGGACAAGAGTGCTCTATTTTTATAATGGTATTTTAAGAGGAAATGTGATTTTTTTTCTCCATGGTTTATAGGTACTCCAATTTAAATCTACAGACATTTATTGCATGCTTAATTTCCTCGTTTTTCCCCTACAAACCCCAGAGTTGCACTGCTGGGTTTGGTAAGCTTATTCAGCAGGCAGAGCCTTTTCCAGGATGCAAACCTTGTCTCAAAGTCACCACAGAGCACAAAAAGCACCTGCAGTGCAGCAGCCTGCCTGGCACAGCACCTCTTGCAGCGCTTTGGCACCCACGAGGCACTAAGGGCAGAGCAGTAGCTCTAGCCCCCAAAACTGTTTCTGGAATGGGAGGTGAAGACCTGGTTGAAGAGCAGTTTTAAGCCTCAGGGTCCATGTTTGTTTCTTCCATGTGGCTACCTGTTGTCACCTGTGTCTGGGACTCATGATCTCCACGCTGTGCTTGGAAGAGCCAAGCCTGGGATATCTGCTGGTAAACTGGGCTCAGCCCAGCCTTTTCCCAGCCTCTGCTGACCACATAAACAGGAAGTTGGCCCCGCACTTTGGCATCAAGTGGGATGGGGCTTTCCACCACCAGAGAGCTCTGGAGCTCCACCTAAGGCACCTCTTTGTGTCAGGGCAAACCACATGAACAGTGAGACGGGCTGCATCTTGAAAGTGGGCCCTGACCTGCATTTATCTAAAGCTGTAGCTATAGCCACAGAAACTTGCATAACGGGCTATCATGGGGCCGCCTGGGCTCCACAGCTTCAAAGAGCTGGGCAGCTGGACCCACCGCTCACCCTGGACCTGTGCACTCTGCAGGCAGGGGGAGACGGCAGAGCTTGAGGCAGCTCAAGGATCAGTAACGGTGAAGCTGCAGCAGGACAGGTTGCTGGGTTTGCCCCTGCGATCTTATGTGGATTTGCTGGAGAGTCTATAGTGCCACAGTTTCACTGCTGTTGATGCCCCAGCTGCCTGGACCAAAGCTAGCTCAGATGTGCCAATATATCCTGTTACTGCAGTTTAGCCATGCTCCAGGGATGTTCCTTCAGCCCAGCCCTTAGAGAAGCTGTGTCTGCTGTGGGATCTCCACCTGGGGAGAACAGCCCCTGCCTTGGAGAGCTTGCATTTAAGGCACCAGATCCAGCTATTCTGGAACTGAAAAGTTTCTAAATGCACTTCAGAATCTCCCTGTATATAGCCAGTAATTGTGTCATGCAGGGACTTGCATTTTAAACCCAACGTAACCCAGATAAGCAAGCCTATGGCATATATCAAGACTGACATGAAAGTGAGAAGCGCGAGAAAAGCAAGAGGATCACAGGCTGTCAGGGGACAGGGACCAAAGCTACTGAGGGCAGCTCAGCACCCTGCTGTTCTCACGCTGCACATTTCTACTGTACTCAGTAGTCAGCACATCTGAAGTTTACATGAATTTAAATACACACTAAAAGAAATAATATAGCTCTTAAAAGGTTTATACTAATCTCCTTCTGTCTCTCGTTATATCTCTGTGCTCATAACAAGGCTGCTTCCTGCTTTATTGTTTTTATTAGTTCATTCATTCTTTCATTCATGTATTTTTTTCTGGTTTTTCTTTTTTCCTTTAATGGACTTCACGTATTTTGTCAGGTTTTTACAGTTGCTTAAGTTCCAGGAGACTATTTTTATATTCCATTATACTTATTATACTTATATAAATATGGGTCTTTTTCTGTTTTTTAAATATCTTTTTTGGCTCCCTCAGGAGAAGACTCAGATCTTGTATTTAAATATTTGCAGACTTAATCCTGTACTGTCATCACAATTATTTATATTATATTACATTTACTACACTCTTACTTCTGTCACATAAGAACAAGACTGGAACATTTTTTATCTTAGTTCTTAACAGTCCATGGATGTTTTGTTAAATCAGAAATTTTTCTTTCTGTTTTGTCCGAGGAAATTTGTGGGCAAAGGACCTGATGGGAAAGATGATATTTCTGAGGATCGCATGAAATAATAAAATGCCCTTTTTTTCATAAATAAGAGTTGAATAAATCTGTTTTCTTCATATCATGGTTAGTGTTTGTTAGATATTTTGGACCTTTTTGTAGAGTATCTTTCATTATGGATACACGTCACATTTTCTTCCTCTGCAGTGTCCTCTGTGCATATATAACTATACGATGTTTTAATTTTAAATGTAAGTTCTACTTTATTTTGTATAACATTATACATTAAAACATGTACAAAGCTTCTTTGATATATATTGTTGACCTCGTAACTCCAGAGACACCAGGGCAAGTCTGCTCGTGACTACGTGATAAGTTACAGTGAGTCCCCTGGTTAAACTGGCTTCCCAGTGGCCCTGTTACGAGCAGGCAGGACTCAGCAATGCCGTGGCGGCTGCGGCGTGGGTCCGTCTGCTGCCTGACCAGGCACCTGGAGAACGCGTGAGCAACGAGCTGTGCGGGGCCGGGGAGCAGTTCGGCAGGTCTTGCTCCTGCAGTCGTGAAGCAGAGCGCAGACACGCTAGCTCGTTACAAAGCTGCGGGGTATCAGCGGGAGCAAAGTCTTACCTTTTGGTAGCTTTCATTGCACTTAGGGAAATAAGCATGTAGCTTTTAGCAGGGGTAAGCCAAGCATCTTATTAGGCTTTGTTAGACGTGGAAGGTTAGACAAGGTTTGTTTGGTTTTTTTACTCCGGATAAAGCATATATTTGAAGCCAAATACTGTATTCTTAAATAAAATTTCTGAAGATACTCTCACATCGCATAGGTTTCTGTAACACAACAAAACAAAAATACTTTGATCAGCTACTTATGTTTCTCCTAGTTTTCCTTGAAGAGTGTCTGTAGAGTCTGTGTCTGTTGAAAGCTGAGATCAAAGTAACTGTAAGCTTCCAGATAGGAAGAAAAATTGCAGAAAATTGCATAGAGTCTTTTTATTTTATTCAAGGTAATGGACAGACAAGGAAAAGGAGCAAGGGGAAAATGGAAGTGGCTCTGAAAGATACATGGTTAGAAAATCTCCATATTTGAAAGAACAAGCGTGTGTGTTTTGGTTTTCTGCCTATACTTCATGTGTTTGCAGTAGTTACAGAAATGTTTTACACTGGAAAAAGTAATGATGTTAACATTCTTGTAAGAAGAGATTGCCTCAAATAAAACTTCAGAGGCAGCCGAATGAAAGAAGAAAATAAGGTTAAAATATGAAGCTTAATATCGCCAGGGGGCATCTGGTGTGTCAGTCAGATGAATGAGGTAAGCTGATTTATGCCCTAAAAACTTTAGCCAAGGTGTTTCTGATGCCGAAGAGGGTTTAATAGACTGCTGGCCTCCCACAGATCATCGCTAACTGCAAGAGAGATTTTGCGGAGGCAGAACTGCAGTCATTTGCGTCGCCATTGCTCGTGAACCCTCCAGAGCTCCCAAGCTGTTTATTTTTTGCCTTTCCCCTCTCTATTGATTTTTGGTTGTATTTTCTTTGCCAGCTATAGCTGGCGAATGCCCAAGTAATAAATTTATATTTCCAAGCTGCAGAGAGGATTGGATTTAGCAAATAATTTTTACCATTTGGAGCAGTTTAAAATGAGTTTTCCAGTTGCCTTTGCAGCTATTTTCTCCCCTTTTATGCCGCTTTGCTGCATTGTCATGCTTGTTGTCTTTGATTCTCGGAAAGCAATGCTTTAGTGGTGACAGTGGGATATTGCCTCATTACAGGCTTCCTTGCCAGATGAGTTCACTTAGTGCCAATTACTATTCAGTAGTGGATGCTGCAATAGGTCAACCTGTACTTTTTGCTAGTCATTCCTTTTTTTTCACATACATTGCTTCTGTCTAAAGCACTTAGTGGCAAATTGTGCTCCTGCCTTGGTAAATTGTTGCTCTGCTACGCAGGGGGACCGTGCAGGGGGATGTAGATATGCTCTGGATGTGTGGAGCTCCACAGGGACCACTAACCCGGAGGTAGGAGGCATAGGGCCAGGGCCATAGGACACTGTCAAAGGCTAAAGTTTCTAACTTCTTAGCTGCTTCGTATCCTGAGGGCCAAATTGGTCCTCCATCCTTGGCATTTTTCCTGCTCTCTATATTTAGACCAGGTGTGGTGCAGAGATTTTGTCTTTTAGAGCTAAAGCTTTGACCAGTTTAGGCAAATCTACACAAGGTGATAGCAGCCTCTCCCTACCACAGGGAGCACTCCGAAAGTAAGGACACTGCAAATGGGGGGAGCCAAGTACCGTGGTAATGCTAGCCGGGTAAATGCCTGCTGCTGAGCCTTTGAATCTGTCCTGCCCCCAGGTGCGTGGTGGAATTGGATGTGGGCACCAGAGGGCAAAACTGCCTTCCTGCCTTCCTGCCTCTGCTCGAAAATCTAGTGCTCACCACGGGGAAATCGTGCGGTGCTGCATCTTTCTGCTCTCTGAAAGAGCTAGCTGCTGCAACTGGAAAGCAATTTTAAACTGCAACTTTAAACTGTGTCACTCTGCATTTCATTAAGCATTAAGATATGACAGGGTTTGGAGTTAATCTTTAATATATTTTGGGGTGTTCTCAAAGGCACGATGCTGAATTACCTTTTTTGGCAGATGCTATTTTTACCCGATATGGCCTGGAGAGACTGCAAGGTCATTTTCAAAAGTAAAAGTCACAAATCTGTAGTGTAAGGCCCAGTAATGGGGACGTTTGATTGACAAACGTAAGTACTTCTGTAAGGTCTCTGCAATTTTACAGTAAATCTGTCTATCTGTTTACGATACATTGTTTGTATGTCTAATTATAACTTTGGAACAAAATTCCCTGTTAGCATAATTCCTGCAATGTCAGTAGGGCTTTTCAAGCTGGGAATTTAACCTAGTCGCAAGGTCAACGTGGTATAACTTTAAAGATCCTGATGGCGTTTTTTGAAATAGAAGTAGTTTTGAAATATACCTAGAATAACGATAATTTAAAATCACATGTAGGCAGAGGCACGTTTGCTGTATGGCAATAACAACATCCCAATTTCGTTTCCCGCCGATGCTCACATTTTAGTTGTAGTGTGCCACCAGCTCGTCACGCTGGTGGAGCAGCGACACTGGTGCATCCTGCGGAGGCGATACTTTTTGAATGAGGGCCATCCTGGAAGTGCCCTGCAGGCGTTAGGGGTGGGGAGCGACCCCGGGTGCTGCACGAGCCCGGCAGCTCCCGGCCCTCGCGAGATGCTTCGCGCCGCCGCCGCAAGGAGTAAAACGTTGGCTTTCTGTTGGGCATTCGATTTTACTGCCTTAGAGGGCAATCATGGGCTATTTACTCTATTTTCTCACACAAGCTCTAAAACACAGACAAAATTTGCGCATGACACCAAGAAATTGGAAGAAGCAGAGGGAGAGATTATGTGTGGCGGCATCTGGGAGCCCTTTCATACAAAGAACTGTAGTATAAGTTAAGAAGATTATTTTTTCATAGGCTTTTTTTTTAAAGCTATCTGCTTTTAAACAGGTCCCCTGTTATATAAGTGTTCTACTTTTTCAAGTTAGGTATTGCCTAAATGTCAGTCAGAACTGTTTCCTGAAATAGGAACACTGGGTTTATTTAATTCTGCGTTTTAAGTATTTTCCATTTCAGAATAATAAATATATAAGATATAGGATCTCCTCTATGTAAGTGGGAATATACAGGAGTATATTTAGATTTATTAAAAAATTCTTAGTCATGATTTTAAAAGCAAGGCTTTGATTTTTGTCCTGTCAGTGCTACAGCAAGCTTTCATGTCAAAAGAAACTCTTGCTAAAGATGTTGGTTCGTTTGGAAAGGGATAAAATGTCGTACTTTTAACTATATATTTTCATTTTCCAAGCTCCTCCTAGAGAATTGACAGAAGAAGAAAAACAGCAAGTTCTCCATTCAGAAGAATTCCTGATATTTTTTGACCGGACAATACGTGTAATTGAGCGAGCTTTGGCTGAAGATTCAGACATATTCTTCGACTACAGTGGCAGAGACGTAGAAGAGAAAGATGGGTCAGTTCTTTTTTTTTTTTTGGTCTTTTGTAGAATAATGTTTAAAAATAAATTCCCATGCTAGAAAGACTTAATTTTAAAACTAACTTAAACATTTTTTATAATAAAGAAAAAGTTCAAACCTCTTCTTGAAGGCCTGGATCACTTTGTTATACCAAATTATTTCGTAAAATGGCTTCCTGCTTTATTGCCCTGGATCTTTTCCTTTAAATTATTATGCAGGCGGTTTAATATTTTGTTTCAAAGTTTTGATGAAATTTCAAATTCTGAAGAAAAATATAATTTATACATATATATATTTGTGTGTGTGTGTGTGTGTGTGCGTGCATGTGTATATGTGCATATGTATGTTCCAGCAATGTATGTCTGTGTGTTTATATCATGATATTTTTACAAATTCAAATTACTGTGATTTATATTATAGTACTGCCTCCGGTCCGTAATCAGTTCCCCTTTCCTATGCGCTATATTAACAGGGATGAGAATGATGATCTCCCAAAGCGTTTGCAATCTCAGCACGCCAGATGAGAGGTGACAGGCTGTACGTTCAGCAAGCAATAGGGGAGCGCAAGGAAGCACAACTTGTTAGTATGAGGGGAAGTGCTGAGGTTTCAACAGCTGCGTATGCGCCGAAGCCTCACGGCAAAGCGGTAGCTGTGGGGCGCTGGGGCTGCTGGAGCTTGCGCTAGCATGTCACCCCTGGGTAGGCTGAACTCGCTACTGTGCCAGCATCGGGCCAGCACTGAACTTCAACTGATATGAACAGTGCCAGAAAGTACCAACCATCCGCGTGGTTGCTTTGGAGGTGCTCTGACTTTATCATCAGTTCAGGAGAAAAAAATAAGAGAGATTTGGATATAGGCTGGATATGAAGATGCAGAAAAGGGGGAGCTGAAAGCCCGAGCCAGATTTAAGGTGACAGGCGTGTCCCAGGGCGTTCTGGAAAAGTCAGCCAGAAAAGATTCAGGAAGGCAGTGAGAAATTAAAAACTCTGTTTTCCTGAAACTCCTGTAGAATTTGTTCCTTGATGCAACAGGTTGCCCCAGCAAGACTATCAATGAGAGCAATTCAGTCAAGATGGCAGACTTCCCCTGGCTGGGCAGGGATTTGAGAGAAAGGGTAGCCAGAAACCTTTACATTGGTTGTCACTGCGTTTGCTCCCTCATTGTTTAAAATGTGTAACTTTGTTTTTTAACTCCACACAGAGATGTTCAAGCAGGAGCCAACCTTTCCTTTAATCGTCAATTTTATGATGAGCATTGGTCAAAGCATCGTGTAGTCACCTGTATGGATTGGTCTCTTCAGGTAAGGTGCGATGCTGGGAGTTATGTTTCTATGTTGTTTCCAACTTCTGCATATAAAAATATGGACAGGCTGATTTGCACTTTGATATGTGGACTATGATGTTATTTCTTAGCTAACAGGAGGGCACTGAGTGAATGCATGTTTCTCTGTAATGAAGAGTAGTGGGCAATAATGACGTTGTCTTGTTTATATGTGTTACTTGATCTTCAAAGCCAGGACTTTATATTAAAACTACATGTTAACAAACCTACCGAGAGGTGGAAACCTCCACTTTTCCTACCCCGTCCGATAATGCCTTCAGCACGGGAAATTTTTTTAGGACAAAAGGTTTAAAGTTAAACCAATTACAAATAATAAAAACAACTAAATTGTTAACAACTGATTTAATAAACAATTATACAAAATAATATACAAAAATAAAAACGAAGAGTAATAAAATTTAATTTTATGATGTACTAGAACTCAAAATGTGGAAGTATCTGAACAGCCCGAGTGGAAAAGGGATTCTTCTAAAGATGCTGGGACCTCTCCTCAAACCCATTAAAGAGGAGACTGCAGCTGGCCAGGGAGCAGGCTAAAGTAACATGCCTGGAACATGTCCAGTTTCTGTACACCACAAAGCATTGTCATATTGCAACGTAAAACTTACTGCAGAACTGCCTAAGCTTCCCAAAACCATTATAGCCACATCAACCTGGTACAGAAACCAGGTTAATTAATTATTCTAGTTATTATTAGCACAGACGTATCACTATAGGTCCTGTCAAATTCATCCAGTCCCAGTTTCACTCCATCCCCCTCATCCTCTGTGCCTCATCCATATCAGTCTGTTCCTACGTCCCAGCCTGGAGCAAACCAGCTAATTCCCTTGGGGAGGAAACCAAGGAGATTCTGCTCCAAAGTCCACAACACGGATATAGCGAGTCTGCTCCAGGAGGACCTAGACTTGAAAAACAGGAAGGCAAGCCAGTCCACCTAGCTTGCCCCAGCACCAGCCTCAGACGTATCCTGGTGGGTCCGAAGCCCCGGTGCAGCCTGGTGTGGGCAGCAAAGACTCTGTAGGTGTAGCTCAGTGCACTGGTAAGAGCAAGCTTAGCTTAGGATAATCTTAGCAGTAGCTGCTCTTTCTATGTCGCATGCTGTACTGTGCCATGTTAGATGCGAGCGTGGACGCAGCGTGTGTTTAAGTAGGTGAATTGTGCCTGTGGGCTGGGGAGAGACAGGGGATAAGGGGCACCGTGAGTCTTACTGCCATGTGAGAGTCATCCTGCTGTCCCGGTGGCAGGGCTACTCCGAGTGTTGCTGGTGGCTGTGCCAGCCTGGCTGACGCACCAAGACTGTAGGTGTGTGCGCAGCAGCCAGCTGCAACCTCTTCTGCATGCGTGGAGAGGCTTCTTTTAAAATTTGCGCCCCTGTCTATGAAATAAAGAATTTATCCCTTTGCTTTCATACAAAATATCAGCTTAAGAACAGGTATGCACTGGTGTGACGTGGGTGGCCTTTAAGCACATATGGATTTCCACAGAAATCAAACATAAGCCTGAGGAAACACTTATCTTAGGTTGTTCACTTGTTCAGGGGCTGGAAATTACATGGAATTCTTATCTGATATTTTCCTAACAGGCAGCTCTTACTGTATTCCCAGGGCAGCAAGAAAAAAAAGCCAGCTCAGAAGAGCGCTGCCAAACGTAATTGCTCAACCCCTGGGGCACACAGGCAGGCTCTGCTTCCCACCTCTTTGTTGCAGGGTGGCCCCTCCTGCCTTCCCCTCCGTTAACTCCTCGCGCGCGGCTCCCTGGCATCCCAGCCAGGCTCCTCTGCGCCGCCCCACACCAGCTGGCGAGGAGGCACTGTGGCATCTCTTGCCTGCTTCAAGGTGTATAAGGTAGCAGAAACTGGAGGCGGATGGAGGTATTTCGCCTAACTGAAGCGCTGCTTCTCACATATGCTCTGGGACTCCGCAGCGTCTAGAATGCCAAAGGATAACTTGAACGCTCATGGGAACTGCAGAACACATTGCTCAATTTTCTGTGATAAAACTGTTGCTGCAAAACATCCTGGAGGCAAATAGAAGCTTAATCAAAAAAAGGACCTTGATGCATTGATTAAACGAATTATTCTGTTCCCTAGTCACATGTAAAATACGGTCCCAAACATGTGGGATCACTCATGCCATTAAAGCTAACCCGCTAGCCCCTTGATTCTTTTACAGAGCAAAGGGAAAAAGGCTTAGATCCCTAATCAAGGATCTAAGGGAAATGCCCAATAGATTTAGTGTAAACACAGAGTGGGATCACCTTGCTTTGTCCACGGAAGGGTTACTTACTCATCTAAAGCCAGCAAGGCTGAAGATACTGCTGAGTCCTTCTTGACTCTCAGAGAGCAGCCTTGCATGCTGCTTCGCACAGCAGTATTTCCATACTGCTTTCAGCTGCAGTCACAGGATAGCCGGACACCTAGTGAAGTCCAAAAATTCAGTGAATGCAGTTGGATTGAATGAAGCAGTGACTGTGCAGTGGCAGCATGAATTTATGGTGCTGCAGCTGGCTCTGTTTTTATAGAGTCAAAAAGCCTCAAAACAATGTCGCCCGACTAGGTATGACCCCGGCGTCTGAGTAAACTTGAAACTGTATTTCCAGTCTGATGCATCAACTGTGATTGCATAACGTACGCATAGACCAGCAAGATTTGAGTCAGCGTTTGTTTATGGCCAGACACCCTGCCAACCAGAACACGCTCACTAACTTCTCCGGGAGCGTGAACCAACCCCAAAGTGCCTGTAAACAGGCACTCCAGACCTGATCGCACATCCTGCCTGAGCGCAGCTGTGCTGGTGGAAGAGGCTGTCGCCCCTACCTGCCCCAGGAACGGCCCCGCGAGCCTGCTGGCTCAGCTGCTCACGTCCACGGTACCCGACCGCCGCAGTCAGAGCACGATACGCAAAAGCCTGCTGCACACACTGTTTACTTGAACCTGGGCCAACACTGGATGAAAAGGTTCAAAGGAGAAGTTAGCTGAGTCAGCTGTTTAGCAGTGGTTGTAATCTCTGTCCCGGGAGAAGTAGAAGAGGGGGGCAGGATTGGCGGGGTGAGGGACAGCGGCGGAGGGCAGGCTGCCGCAGAGGCTGTGCCAGCAGCCCTCGGCCGCGGGGTCAAGCCACCGTCAGCTCCCTCTGTTCTTGGGGAAGGAGAAGGCGTGGTGGGTCTAGTGCAGGCTCTAAATCCCGTACAAATGCTTTGGATGCTAAATTGCCCTTGCAAGCTGTGCCAGCAGCCAGCATCTGCCAGGATGTAGGTACAACCCAGTCAGCCTCTTTTTCTCCTTTTTTTCAGAAAGAGAGAGGCAGCTAAGGCAGCCACATGTCGCTGCTGGGTTCTCCCACACATGGAGGCAGGGTCCAGGACCTGGATGTTATTTGAAATGATGAGCTTGAATAGAAAAATAGTCGCCTCCATGATGTAGTACCCATAAAAATGTGCACAAAGTAGGAAAGAACAGCTGCTAATGACACAAGTTATAGCTATATGCACTTCTTCCGAGTGCATATGGATTTTGAGAGGCAGAGAGGTTCAAGCCCCACTGAAAATGATGCAAAGTGTTTTGTTTTTTTTTTTAAGTGCCTGGTGCCAACCAAATTCACACTTCCTGCTAACACTCTTGGCAGTTGCTTTGTCCCACTTTCTTCATGTCTACCAGCCCTGCAGCTCCCCTTTGAAGTGGTAAATAGTTTGGCGGGAATTTACCTGAGAAAGACAAATGACAAAGATTTGCAGAGATCCTAGAGAAATCTTGAGGGAAAGCATTTTTAGTTGACCAGGGAAGGGTGTGGATCCTGTGGACCTTGGGCTGCTAGCTCACCGATCTGCCAGAATCCACATGCTTTTCTCTGAACATACTGGAAGGTCCTTGGCCTTGCTCTGACTATTCAGAGGGAGGGGTAGAGGTTACAAGAGATACCTCATGTCAGACGTGAGAGTAGGGAGTTGGCTACCATTGTATAGGCAGAAAGTAATTGATATTTTGGGGGGGAATTGTTACTTTTTTTCAGCTGACAGTTGAAACGTAGTGTAGAAGAGTGCCCAGAATATACTGTTAAACCGCCCAGCAAACAGAAGGCTGTGAAATGTGCATAATTTAAGCCCCTTCTGCTAATTGTAAACAAGATTTTGTTTTAGCAAATGTTTCAGCAAGGTTAGGTTAGAGTGTATTGTATAGACGATCTATACAATTGTGTAACTATTACCAAGTGAATGGTATTATATCAGTGATACTTTTGACTTGCTGTGCTGTGACTATTTTGCTTATGGTGTTTCAGAACAACACAATGTCGTCCACAGTGTGAAATTCTATTTTTTCATAACTGACTTTATACATATACATATATATATATATATGTATATACACACACATAACAAAATATATAACTATATGTATGTGGTGCCTATTTATTTATGTACTCCAAAGGATACTTGGTATACGAGAAAATATGGATCTCATTTTAGAGTGCTCATTGCGTCAATCTTCCTGAGTCAGTGGAATTCAAGGTCACCCAGTGCTTAACAAGATGACCTCAGCATCTTGCAAAATTGAGCTTCTGCAAAGAAAATGTTTTGTTTGCTATGTGAATCATCAAGAAGAGCTTTCAAGTTGATTCCATGTATAAGTCAATAGGAAAAGTACATAATGAAATAAGAAAGAATAGGTTTCTAGGGTGCTGAAAAACTGTGAACTTCAGGATAAAAGTGTGTCAATGCTATACTCATAGTGGTTTTATTACCAAAATGAATTAAAGCAATGTTTTATGCCTGCAGAAGTGGTTAAGAAAATAAATTACAATTACACAAGATTTCAGGTTTTTCTTCTTAATAGAATTTCGTATTTTGCATTCCCTTTATGAATACCCTGTTAGTTGTCTTTTCTAGGATTTACCTGCAGAAAATAAGGTTTCCTGTGGTATCTGAGAACAACTGATACAGAGCAAAGACCAGGGACTCTAAGGACTTCAGGGACCAGTAAAATAAAAAGCCAAACATAAAACCAAAAATGCAGCTAAAAAGTATGACGGGACTGGTGTGTTTTATTATTAAAACCAGATATTCCACATGTAGTGTGAGATTGCTTCTGCCTCATCTGATTTTGCATATCTTCTCCGCTATGCAGCTCATTTCAGTTGCATGTGCTTTTTTTCTAGTACCCCGAATTGATGGTTGCTTCTTACAACAATAATGAAGATGCTCCCCATGAGCCTGATGGGGTGGCCTTGGTCTGGAACATGAAATTCAAGAAAACCACACCAGAATATGTTTTCCATTGTCAGGTAAGACCAAGAAAGCCATTCATTTCACGCTAGACAAAACAGAATTTACTACATGGTGCATCTGCCCACTGTTTTTATGACAAGGTTGAGGTTAAAAATAGGCTTTTTTGGAAAAAGTGTAAGCAGCAGTCCAGTGTTTTTAGAAGTCATCCAGCCTTCTCAAACAATACTGCAAGCCTATCAGGGAATGTGTGTCATTCTTTGTCTATTTAAAACAGTCCCTAAGAGATTTAGTTTATAAAGCCCTTGCACTTAAGAAGTAACTGTGGTGTACCACTTCCTCATCCAGGCAGCAACATATGCTTTCCCACCCACGTTAGCTTCCTCGCATCCTCTGTATTCCAGGCGCCTACTCCTGCCTTGATTCTGCTCAATGTCATGTTGTGCTTTTAAAATTCCTAAGTATACTGCATTTCTGGGCATGCGTCTTACTTTAGCTTGATTAAAAACTGTCTCGACTACAGGGGTTACTCCACCGATTCCTGTTTGACTATCCTTTAGGTTAGCAAGCCAGTATTTCACCTCACTCAGTGCTACTTTATGACTACTTTAGAAGTCTACAGACAATTTAAAAATAGCTAGATGTTTTATTTCCGTAGGTCTGTTTACTCCTCTTTTGCCACTGCTTTTCTGTGTGAAACAGCACAGCCTCATATTGACAGAACTGTTCTGCTCACTGGCTCTATCTCCATCAAAATGTCCAAATTGTGGAAGAACGTTTGGCCAAATTTCCAACCTCTTTATTAATATCCTTCTACAGTAATTAAATCCAGGACAGTTAGTTACATTCAAAAAGTAAGCTTATGGGAAAGTTTCAGTAAGTAAAAACGTAACAATCAGAGATTAGTAAGATGCAGATTATTCTGCTGTAAGAATTGCTTCTCTTGGAAGGATATGTATTACCTGGCGAGCTGTGTAAGCTAAGTGTCATTTTACATTCAAGGACCAAACATCTTTTTGAATTAAGTTTATGTTTGGACTTGGGTACATTATCGGATGTAAAATAGTGGGAGGGAGTTACTGGAACTGAAGTTACTGCTTCAACCCGATTAAGTAACCTTTAATTCTGCGCATGTTTTTCTAATTTGCTATCCTGAAAAACAACTTCACAAGAGGTCCAGCCCTGTACAGCAAATATGCCATACAGATCTATATACGTGTGTGTGTGTGTGTGTGTGTGTGTATTACCTTTGAAATGAGAACTTTTCTTTTTCTGGATATCATATTCAGCAGTCTGTTGTGTTCTTTCAGACTACTTAAGAGCATAGCTCAGATTCCAGGCTTGGATCCTTCTAGGATGTTCATTCAAATTAGTGTTTTAAATAAAATATTCAAGAGAAGAGATTGCCCATTGTATTTTAGGGGGAATAATTCTTAACCTAGATTGATTTTGCAAGTTAATAACCAGATGCAGCATAGCTCTACTGAGTACACAAAGGGAAGATTGACTACAGACATAACAGTGGTGCTCTCTTAATTAAAAATTCTGTCTTGTTTTAAATGTAAGTACACTTAAACAAGGGGAGGTATGACTCACTAGAATAAAAGCATTGAGACAGGCTGTATTCCCCATTAGAAAAACACGCATAGAACAAAGTGGCGGCCTGAGATTTGGCCTGACTGAGCTTCTGTCTAATCCTCCCATTGCATTGGATGTCCCCCTTCTTTCGCACTGGAACCTTAATACCTGAGGATTTTGAGACACACGTGGCACTGTGCTTTCATATGCATCCTGGATTAATCATCTTCCAGTGAAATGAGGTCAGTTCTTGTGTCAAACTATCCACAGATAATTTGCATTATGAGTTCTTGCAGCCATGTTTGAACCATTTTTGGGCTTCTGACGTGTGGGATATCTTCTGCATCTCAGCTTGGATGGGCATACCCACATGAGATTAAATGGGGAAGCAGAAAGCATTTGACTTGGTCTCTTGAACACAGGCTTTACGCTAACTGACTCAGATGGAAAATAAGAAAAAAATTATCTTAGCTCAGAGTCTAGAATTAAGTTCTGTAGATCATCATGCTGTTCTGTTAGTTAGTGGAAACCAACTGTATTATTAGTTAGCCCCATATCATTTATATTACCGTTTTGCAAGAGAAACATTCCCTGACTCACTCCTGATTCAGTCATTTCTCCAGGTCTTCTGTGAGGCATGCCTGGTTTTTCTTCAGCTCTACATGACCTTATAGCAATCCAGCAAGTAGGGATGAACACACATGTTGTCAGTAGAGCTAAGTTGCCCAGGTACAGCAAACGCACATTACTCTGATCATATTTTCCCAATAGACTGTCTGTGTTCTTTTCTAAAGAGTTTCTAAGTAACCATGATCTTAATCAATACTACTTGATTGTGACTAATAACTTCTGCCCTTCAATTTCGAGGGTGCAGAGCAAGATGCAAACAAGTAGAAATTCATTTCAGATATGACTGTCAAGGAACTCATGCAAACCCCTTCTGCGAAGCCAGATCAATAAATGTGTTTATGACCCCATTTCTTAACAGGTTCTAAGAAATTCCCCCTCAGGATTTCTGATAACATCAGTAGAAATTGATATGTGAAACATCTCTGGACAGCTAAAGAGCTGGATGAGCTTCAGTAGATAGAACGTTAGATCATTTTACTGCTTAAGTACGTTTGGTAAATTCTAGAAACTAGGAACCATAATCTTGTTCATCTGTCTTTCCGAGGATGTAATAAAGATTTAAGTGAGATGATTACCAGGGAATTTATTTATTTTTTTAACTCCTTCTGTGGCCTTTTGTAATCTTACATAGGATCATTGAAATGACCAACAGTCTGTCTTTCCTGGTACCTTCTCTGAAAGTTTCCAAAACCAGGGGCTTCAACTGAAGTTGCCTAGCAGCCATAGCAGACAATGATGCAAAAAACTACCAGTGAGGATGTCTTTTCCCAACACCAGTCAGCAATATGTTTGATTTCTGTCCTAAAATGTAAGGGATGATGCATTCTGTAAATGTTTATCTTAGCTGTTGTCACTGGTGATGTTACAGTTATTATTCATATAAACTTATTGCCCATTTTAAAGTGATATTAAGCTCTTGGCTCGTTAATGTAGTGTAGGTGGTACTAAATTTCACAGCTGAATAATATGTTGTGCTACAAATACTAGATCATTTAAAAATATGTTACCGCTTGATTTAAATTGATATGTATTAAGGGAAAGATGATCATCAGCCAACTGGACTCATTAATTTATGTGAACTATCATTTATGTGAACTATCATGTGATCTATGATATCCTTTCTAAACAAAAAAGTTCTACTGGCTTCTCTCTCGTCCTCCTGAGGAATACTTATTTTCCTTTACTCATTTTTGCCCTTCTTTAGATTTCTATATTTCTACGTTAATCAGCGATGTGCTGCCAGTATTTTAGCTGGGAGTCCCACAGATTTTTTCCTCTGTAGCTCATCATGCATCTCTTTACCACAAGGATAGAGATGGGACGGCAAGGAAGAGTGAGGGATTGGGCAATATGTTCATTTGTTTTCCCATACAAGCAAAAAAATGTCTGAGAAGCATAATGAAATTGGGAGGTGATATCATTTGCCAGAGAAGTGAATGCTCAATGCTTTACTTAGGTAAGGAAGAATAAATTGAGCGTTTAGCTAATATTGCAGGGTGCAGACTAGGAATTTCCTTGTAGGGAATATTCAGGGATGTCCTCTTCCCCCACACTGGAGCATCACAAACTCTTGGTGTAATGCAGTGCATTCCAAAGGCAAAAAACCAAGCCTTTCAGAAGTACTTTCTGAGGCCCTACAGATGAGTCATTCCTGGTGGGGATGGTTTGGCAGTAGCCAGAGAGGGAAAGAATTCCAGCAAAGACAAGGAAATTACATTAACTCTCCCTCAGTTTGGTGGCAGAATTATAAGCAGTAGTTTACACAGCTTCTCTCGGCTACTGCAGATCTACTTTTAAAATGAGGTAATGAAAATAATGTGGCATGGTTATTGAATGATGTGACTCAACATAAGTTCAATGTTGTATCGATTTATGCAATCCATGGAGCTGGCCTCGTATGCCAAGAGAACATTCCTACACAATCAATATATAAAGTAGCATCAAGATACCTCTCAGTGTTATTCTCTACCTCTTTCTTAGGAAGTGCTGCTATGATATTTCTGTGTTTTTTCCCTGAACTAACAAATGGAAATCTAGATTATTCATTAATTATGAAGATTATTTGTAATACAGTTCTTAAGGTACAGCTGGTCACCTCTACTTACTGTGTTGCTTCTGTTTCCTGGTGGGCTGATCTAAGCTTTCTAAGCCAGTGACCTAAAGAAGTATCTGAAGCTTTGCATCAACATATATGGTCGAGTGAGACAAATGAGAACTCAGACTGTCTTTGCCCTAAACTGGCCAGCTGCGAGTTCTGCTCTGCGAGCCATGCTGCAGCATTCATGCAGCTCCGAATCTGAGCTAATATACCCTCCCTCCCAGTAGGGCCTATTGGCATGGGTACAGCACTGCTCTTATACAATATCTCACAGCTTTTGTGTTGGAGCTGATCTGCAGACTCCGAGGACACAAGGGACAGAAATAATCAGTGAGTTTGGGGGACTTTAGGATATTGCAAACCTTTTCTCGTCTTCTGGAAATAAGAGGGTTATTAAAGTTGGTTAAGGAACCTGGATCTCAGCTCTAAACAACATCCGTCATGTCATGCGAAGAGCTGTGACGGGGGAAAGACAGCTAAAGATAATAGCTTCTTACAAATAAAACAAATTGAATCTTATTTTCTGATCTGGAGGACTTTGCATTGTATTTAGAAAGTTTCATGAGTTCTGCTTTTCTACAACCAGTCTAAAGATGGCAAGAGGAACAAGAAACGAATATATTGACTGCATTTTGATTTATTTTATTTCCTGATCTATTAATTTCCTCTTTCTCAGCTATGTCTTTTCAAAATATCTCAAAAGGGCAGTGAGATGTACAGATCTGACACTTAGAAGCAACTCCATTCAGTGCA